ACCACTGTACTAGAGCTTAACTGGGTACTGGATTCCCCCCCCCCAATGTATTAAAAGGTCTGGATGCATTAAGAGGTAGGCAGCAAGTGCAGAGATGCAAAAAAAGAGCCAGTGTGAAGTAATGGCTAAAGTGTTTTACTTAGGCAAGGGTGACCCAGCTTCACATTTCTTCTCGGTCACAGAGCTCATGGGGTGCTCTTGGTCCAGTCACTCTGGCTAATGGACTCTAGAGGATTATTGTTGTAGGGAGTAATGAGGAAATATCATCTTCTTCTTGTTTGGCGATCACTCATAGCCGAGTAAGATTGTCTTCCATAAATACGATTTTAACAGTGAGTCCGTCAGTGACTGTGGAGGCCAATTCTGGATCCCTGCACTCCGTGGAGTAAGAGGATAAAAGAAAAAGAGGCTCACAGGTTCACCAACCCTGCTTTAGTAATTTGTATGGCAAGAAGGATTAAGTTTGCAGTTTCCTTTCCTTTCCCTCTTTTAGTTCAAATTCAGTTTCTTTGTTAAGCTCTGACGACCGATGTTTAATATGCTGGTCTGGGATTCCAGACCTTCAAAGGAACCTAGTTGCAGCCATTTATCACCACGGCACGAAACTCTCTTGAATTAATGTGGGCGACAAGAAACCAGACCACATGGGCCATGGAACAAGAAGCAACAGCGGCAAAAAAAGACTTGACAGGAAATGCTCAACACAGGAAGGAAGTCCTATCACGCTTTTGGCAGCACTCTGTAAACAGTTATAAAAACCAACACAAAACAATGTCCAAAAAGGCCTCCAGTGTGAGTATTTGTTTGTTTTAAAAAGTATCAGCATTTCTAAAATAACAGTCATTACCTTTTGGAAGTAATAATTGGGCTTTGGGTTTGCTTCAGCTTTAGCCAGATTTTGAAGCTGTAAGGATCACCACTATACAGCTTTACCTGGGAGGAACCCCACACGGTGGCACATACTTCTGTGTAGACATGCCTAAATCTACACTGTTACTACATACTACTATCAGTATGCGGATGATACCCAGCTCTACGTCTCTTTCAAATTGGAACCAGTGAAGGCGGTGAAGGTCCTGTGTGAGTGTCCGGAGGTGGTTGGAGGATGAATGGTGGCTAACAGATTGAGGTTGAATCCTGACAAGACAGAAGTACTATTTTGGGGGGACAGGAGGCAGGCAGGTGTGGAGGACTCCCTGTTCTTGAATGGGGCAACTGTGCCCCTGAAGGAGCAGGTGTGCAGCCTGGGAGTCATTCTGGACTCACAGCTGTCCATGGAGGCACAGGACAATTATGTGTCCAGGGCAGCTGTCTACCAGCTCCATCTGGTATGCAGGTAGAGACCCTACCTGCCCACAGACTGTCTCACCAGAGTGGTGCATGCTCCCGTTTGGATTACTGCAACACGCTCTACGTGGGGCTACCTTTGAAGGTGACCCGGAATCTACAACTAATCCAGAATGCAGCAGCTAGACTGGTGACTGGGAGTGGCCACTGATACCACATAACTCCAGTCTTGAAAGACCTATATTGGCTCCCAGTTCATTTCCGAGCACAATTCATAGTGTTGGTGTTGACCTTTAAAGCCCTAAATGGCCTCGGCCCAGTATACCTGAAGGAGCATCTCCACCCCCATCGTTCTGCCCGGACATTGATATCCAGTGCTGAGGGCCTTCTGGTAGTTCCCTCACTGTGAGAAGCCAAGTTACAGGGAACCAGGCAGAGGGCTTTCTTGGTAGTGGTGCCTGCACTGTGGAACGCCCTCTCATCAGATGTCAAAGAGATAAACAACTATCTGACGTTTAGAAGACATCTGAAGGCAGCCCTGTTTAGGGAGGTTTTTAATGACTGGTGTTTTAGTGTGTTTTTAATCTTTGTTGGAAGCCGCCCAGAGTGGCTGGGGAAGCCCAGTCAGATAGGCGGGGTACAATTATTATTACAAACATAGGCCCTAGGACAGGGTGGGCAGCTTGCAACACGTGGCCTAGTTTCATAGAGTTTGGATTTGATATCCCGCTTTATCACTACCCTAAGGAGTCTAAAAGCGGCTAACAATCTCCTTTCCCTTCGTCCCCCACAACAAACACTCTGTGAGGTGAGTGAGGCTGAGAGACTTCAGAGAAATGTGGCTAGCCCAAGGTCACTCAGCAGCTGCATGTGGAGGAGCGGGGAATCGAACCCGGTTCACCAGATTATGAGTCTACCACTCTTAACCACTACACCACACTGGCCTCAAATAGGGCTGGAGTGGTGGTGGTGAGCAGGGGCCAAGGCAAGGGTGTCAGAGTATGTTGTCAGGTATGGGCCAATGGGCAGCAGTCTGGAGAATACCAAAAGCTAGGAACAAGAGTCCAGTGTCAGATGACTTACCAGAATCCAAAAGTGATCAAGTGGCTGAGCTGGAAAACAAAGTAAGGAATGCTGAAGAAAAATCAGGATCAGAGATCAAACCACAAGACAGGAGGACTCTGCTAGAGCAGCATGGTGAGAAATGCAGGACATGCTAGAGCTCTGGTAGGCCTTGTTCAAGAAGGAACATAACAGTGGACCACCCTTACTGTGGCCAACTTGATACCTATAGGTCACAAGTAGGGCTTCCCATGAGCTAATCCAAATGGAAAAGGAAGTCCTTTGGCTCCTCTTAGGCTGGAAAGAGTCTAATGGGAAGCCTGGGCTGAGAGAACCAGGTCAGAACTAGAAGATTCTTCTCAAAGAGGCTCATGCAGCTCACCACATAGGGCAGTGGCCAGCAGTTCTTGAGCGAAGGGGTTGGCTGGCTTCCCTTTTGCTCTGACCCCACCTTTTTTTTTTTGCTTAGGACCCACCTACTCAGTGTTGGATTTCTATTCCTTTCTCAGTGCAGATACTGTGTAGGACTGGCTCATCACATGTCTGTGTTATGCATTCCAGCACCAATTGTTGGAATCAGTGGAGCGGACGTTTACTGTACTCTGTTTCCATTTGTTTTTGCTTTCACTTCTGACTTCTCTTTGAGGAAGACGAACGAGAGACAGGAGACATGTTCTGCATAATGCTTAATATAGTAGCTTTTAGTGCTCACAACTCCAGCCTAGCTCTGTCTGCGTTTATCTCTGCTGGACTCTGAATGTGCGCTCAGTGTCTCCAAGACTTGAGTCATTATAAATCGTCGGGGAAGGCTGTAGAAACTCCCTAGAGCTGCACACTGAACGCTGAAGGGAGAGTCAGGCTGGAAACATTCCTGTCGTATGTCTGGGGGTCATCCTAGCCCCCAGCCGACACAACACTCAGTCCCAGCATGCTTTACTTTACAGTGGTACCTCAGGTTAAGAACTTAATTTGTTCTGGAGGTCCATACTTAACCCGAAACTGTTCTTAACCTGAGGTACCACTTTAGCTAATGGGGCCTCCCGCTTCCGCTGCACAATTTCTGTTCTCATCCTGAAGCAAAGTTCTTAACCTGAGGTACTATTTCTGGGTTAGCAGAGTCTGTAACCTGAGGTACCACTGTATTGCCATATAAAGTAATTTAGGGATATCATGCCTCTTTGATCTGCAAGGTTTAAGAACAAGATCCTGCAGTATATGCCAATTTAACCTAGGCAGACTGTTTTGCCAAAGTATTTCCTACGAAGGCATCGATGCTCCCTGTGACAGAGGAGCATCTCTCCCCATAAAATAAGCTAAAGGAAAAATAAAGACGCCTACAAAATTACTACAGTCATGAACTCCCCGCAGCTTTCTGCAAAACGTCTGTTACTGGTAGTCAAGGCCAAACATACAAGGCTAAACATACATCAAACCTATTCTGTTCCATGCCTCCACTGAAGCTTGGGCAAATAAGAGCATGACCTATTTTCGGGAGTCTTAAGCTTTTTTCTTTTTGTGCCAGGAACAGCATGTGACTGGAAAGTGACATATTAAAAAAGGCCTTGCCTGCTTTTAGGCAATGACAGAGAAAATTATTAACAGGGAACTCAGACTGTACCCACACCATCACATCATAGCTCTGTGAAATGTGGAAATATAAATACACACCAATAGCATGATGTGTTTACAGAAGTGGATCTGATCAGAAATGTAGTTTTCTCCTCCCACAACCCCATTAACAAATAGTGTTTAAAATATTCCAGATTTTTTAACATCAGGAATTGGTCAGCAATAGTAACAAATACCAAATTTATTAGATCTCTGGCACATTGCCAAACAGTAACCAGTGGCAGAACTTCACAATTTGAGTGATCTAGTAAATATATGTGATTTTAAGGCCTACCTCCCGCCTCCTCAGACACTTTATATAACTAAGTAGAATTTGAGCAGCCATGTGCCACAAACAGACAGACCTTCGATACTACCAGATTGCTTTAGATTGCCACCTGTAGCTAAGCAAAACTCTTTACATAGGTAGGCTGCTAAAATATGCCATCTTCATACAATACGAACAGGCATCAACTGGTTCAAATAATTAGGGGAGCAGCAGTTGATACAGTATATCCAAATTTTCATTTCAACCAGCAATTCCATCTTACCTGGGTTCCTCTGCAGCTTCTCTTCCCCTTTTCTCATCTTCTACACCCTCTTTCATCCTATTGCATGTGGTATCTTGTTCTGGAGGTGTATTTTCCCTCCAGTGGGTGGGCAGGTTGTGAGGAGCTAGCCATTTACTCTTTTGTTTCTACTTTTAATTAAACCAATTACAATATTTAAAAGTTTTCGTTATTTAGCATTTGGCAATTCCGAATAAGCATGTCTAGGACTGGAGTATTTTATTAGCTAAAAGTAGAATTTATACACACTACTCACAACAATGATTAACATTTTCAAGCACGTTTGAGAACAGCTTGGCTTTTCGTTTGTTTGTTAACAACTACTTGCTAGTGCAGGAACAAGTAAATTGACCACCGAAGTTTGTTAGTGGCTAAGCCACCAACGTAACCCAATTTCTTCCCAGTGATCTATCTCCTCTCCCTAAAATCTGCCTGCTTCAAGTGTTTAGGGCATGTAGCAATGAGACAAGTACTCCATGTTAGTAAATAGAAAGGTGGTTTTATTTGTTTGCATCCAGCTGGATGCTTTAATTGCTTGCATCATCATCAACTGGCAAGATATCTGAGTTATAAAAGTGTTTATTCCAAGCGCTCTGGCATGGAATGCCAGGTGTTCTGTTTACATTTAAGATTTGCTTCCCATTTACTTTATTACAAAGTAGCAAATGGTAACAGCCATACAACAGACATGCGTGCAAGTCTAATACTCCTCGCCTTCATCGTCACCATCCAAGGAGTCTGTGCCCACTTCTTCATAATCCTTCTCAAGTGCAGCCAGATCTTCTCGGGCCTCCGAAAACTCCCCTTCCTCCATTCCTTCTCCGACATACCAATGGACAAAAGCACGCTTGGCATACATCAAGTCGAATTTGTGGTCCAGGCGGGCCCAGGCCTCCGCAATGGCTGTGGTGTTGCTGAGCATACAGACCGCACGCTGGACTTTGGCCAAGTCACCACCAGGAACAACCGTCGGAGGCTGGTAATTAATACCCACCTAGAAGACAGTAAATAGAAATGCAGACAATGTAAATTTTCCTATATCACAATAGTATCTAATTTGTGTGCATTTTCAAGTCAGAAAGGAGCTGCATCTGTACACAAGCCAGCAAGCTCAAGGTCAAGATCACCCTGCGTTAAGAACACCAGGGCTGGGAGTGTAGAACTTCACATTTGTTCTAAAAATCTTTTGATCTGGGCTCCTTTCCCACATTGATTTAAATGTAAGAGATGTCTAGTTATATCCATTTCCTGAGGGGTATCCTGATACGTTCCCCACAAAGTAGCATTTGTGTTATGGGGAAAACTTTCATCCATTTGCAAAGTGCAGTATTTTGTGCCGCTATTCTTCACAGCTAGCATAGTGGGCAGCTCTTGTAACTGACACATGGATGGGACTTTCAGATACCCATTAGAGCAAAGGGGGGGAATCTCTTCTTCCAAAGGCTGCCTGTTCTTTCTTTCACCCTTTTCTCCTCACCCAGTGGGAAGGATTGACAAATAGCTCTTGCCAGAAGTCAGAACAGAGAGATTTTCTACCTCCTCCCATTTCAGCTTTCCTTTGTTTCCCGCCCACTTCTCTCACGTGGCATCTCTCACGAGGGATGCAGGTTTCCCACTCCTACATTAGAAGCTGAAACATCATTAGTCATCAACATAATTCTCTTTTCTCTACAGGCCTACATCATTTTATAATTTTGTTAGGAGCTAGTGCTCCCATTTTAAACTGCCCCCACAAATTGTACATTAATCTACCATGACTAACGTTAGAAGGCATTTTTATATTGAAAAGTCCTGATCGTCAACGTTCGAATCAGCTTTAGTTAGTTCATATATATGGCAAGCTGAGTATTGACTGAGTATTTACACCCTCCTTCATGTAGGGTCTGCAAAAGCAGGAAATGGTAGATACCCTTCCACCAAGATTGTGATCAACCATCCAGTTCAGGGGATGGCTGCATGCCTTTAGGTCATCTTAAGACTGAATCACAGTTAATTAAGCCTGCCTATACCATTTATAAAATTATATACTTGAGATGTGCTTATTCAATCACCTATAAATCTTGACATGAATCAGACCATTTTGAATGCAATCAGCAACGCTTACCTTAAAACCAGTAGGACACCAGTCAACAAACTGAATGGTACGCTTCGTTTTGATAGCGGCAATAGCAACATTGACATCCTTGGGGACAACATCTCCACGATACAGCATACAACAAGCCATGTACTTGCCATGGCGGGGATCACATTTCACCATCTGGTTGGATGGCTCAAAGCAGGCATTGGTGATCTCAGAGACAGAGAGCTGCTCATGGTAGGCCTTCTCTGCTGAGATAATGGGGGAATAGGTTACCAGAGGGAAGTGGATCCTGGGGTAAGGCACCAGGTTTGTCTGGAACTCTGTCAGATCCACATTTAAGGCACCATCAAATCTGAGAGAGGCGGTGATTGAAGAAACAATCTGACCGATGAGGCGGTTGAGGTTAGTGTAGGTTGGGCGTTCGATGTCCAGATTCCTACGACAAATGTCATAGATTGCTTCATTATCAACCATGAAGGCACAGTCAGAATGTTCGAGGGTGGTATGGGTTGTCAGGATGGAGTTATATGGCTCAACAACAGCAGTTGAAACTTGGGGCGCTGGGTATATGGCAAATTCTAATTTTGATTTCTTTCCATAGTCGACTGAGAGGCGTTCCATAAGCAGAGAAGTGAATCCTGACCCAGTGCCACCTCCAAAGCTGTGGAAGATCAGGAATCCTTGCAAGCCAGTACACTGGTCAGCCTGGGGAGGGGGGAAAGGACATTATAGCAGGCTAGTAATCCTAACATTTGAGAATGGGTTTTGCCCATTCACTTTTCTACCTTCTAGTGTGGTATTCTGCCCAGCAGCAAAAAGTTCATTTATCATTCAACTCAACCACTAAGCAGTTGTAAGAAAAAAGCAGAGACCAAATGTAGAACTCATCAGCAGGAACTGTGAGCAGTTCCCACACCAACCAAACAGATCTGCCAGTTGGAGGTAGATATTTCTTATTACATGGAGGTTACAAGCAAATTTTGCAAGTTCATTGACTGAGCAGGCCATATGTAGTTTTATTTATTTAGAGTATTTCAGTCACCCAATAACTTACATTCTCTGGGCAATCACAGCCTAAAAAGATTTTTTTAACTCACAAAATACCCCCCCTTTCAGTTCTCTAACCCAATACTATTTTATACATAAAAATTGAGAAAGCTAAAATCTATACCAGACCAACAAAAATTGCAATCTAAATATTTTAGAGTGTAAGAAAGTCATAGCCCCCAGAATTATCTTACTGTAGTTATCTATAGCCTCATTCTTATTTGACTCAATTCTAAAACCATGAGAGACGAGACCAAATCCATTAAAAAATGGCAGAAACGAATGTAAAACATTGTATTAGTTGCCTTACATAGACCTCCTAGACAAAGAGGTAGTACAGTGGCTAGGGAAGGAAGAGGATATGTTTGCTCAAGTCTTATTAGTTTAACCCATGGGTAGGCAAACTAAGGCCCCGGTCAGGATCCAGCCCAATCGCCTTCTAAATCCGGCGTGCTGATTTAGTGTGTTTTTACATGAGTAGAATGTGTCCTTTTATTTAAGATGCATCTCTGGGTTATTTGTGGGGCATAGGAATTCGTTCATTCCCCCCCCCCATATAGCCTGGCCCCCCACAAGGTCTGAGGGACAGTGGTAACCACACCAAACCTGTCACTTCAGGACTGCCACATGGTTCTAACCAGAGTAAAAAATACATGAAGCAAGAGTCCGTGTTCTAGTAGCATCAAAAGTTAAATAACCCCCCTCCCCCAAAATAAATTAGATGGAGCTACAAAAGAGCTCGAGGATATTTACATTTTGACAGGCACAGATTGACGGGTGAACACTTGTTGACAGAATTAATTTTTAAACAGGGCGAAATGTTTCAATGCAAGTTTGACTGTGCAAAAGCAACAGAACTTACCAGTTTCCTGACGCGCTCCAGTACGAGATCAATTATTTCTTTGCCTACAGTGTAGTGACCTCTTGCATAATTATTAGCAGCATCTTCCTTGCCAGAAATCAGCTGTTCTGGGTGAAAGAGCTGTTTATATGTCCCAGTCCGCACTTCGTCTGAAAACAAAACCACAAGTTATTGTACAATAAAAATGAAACAAATAAAATTTACAATTTTGCTTGTGCTTGAAGCACCCTAAGTAGTTATGCAGGTTTATAGAACTTGAAGAGAACTTTTTTTTTCTACTGACAGGCACTGCTAGCGATTGCCTAGAACAGGTTTTGTTAGTACAAGAACAACTGATTTTTAAACAATATACAGTACATAGGAGTATAAACAGCTGGCAACAGTATCCAGTATGTGGGTTAAAATGTTTTTCCAGCTACAATTTCCACAGGGTAGCCATGCTAGTCTGTTGTAGCAGAGTGGAACAAAGAGTCTTGAAACACCTTAAAGCAGGCATGGCCAAACTTGGCCCTCCAGATGTTTTGGGACTACAATTCCCATCATCCCTGACTACTGGTCCTGTTAGCTAAGGATGATGGGGGTTGTAGTCCTGAAACATCTGGAGGGCCAAGTTTGGCCATGCCTGCCTTAAAGACTAGGTAAGTATGTTAAGTGTTTTACCTGTTATACGCAAAGTAGACCCACTGAAATAAATGGACATGACATAGTCCATTAATGTAAATTGGTCTACTCTGAGTAATAATTACTTGGATATAACCTTTCACCTTTTAAGATGCCACAGGAATTGTCCCATCCCCTCATCTGTAAACACTTTCTTGTAAAAACTTAGGCAAAACTCCTGCAATCCAGTATTTCACATACCAAGCATTACAGATATTCATAAGTGACATCTTAACCCAGGCTTCACTTCCATCCAAGTCACAGCAAAGCACTACCTAATTTCTCAAGGATTACTGTATCTTAACTTAAATAATGATAAATATGTTAACCACATGTTTAGAAATACTGTGCCTTGCTCTGGCTATGTCTACAGTTAAGGTCATGCAATGTCTTTTATACAGAATCTAAATTACAACAGGGAAAAACTGAATCCTCACGTTCCAGACTTTTTATTATACAACTGTCCCACATCCCATCTCACGTCCATTCCAACCACACAGGCTGTATTTACTTTACCTATCACTGCTGGCTCCAAATCCACAAACACAGCACGAGGGACATGTTTTCCTGCACCAGTTTCACTGAAGAAGGTGTTGAATGAGTCATCTCCACCACCAATTGTTTTGTCACTTGGCATGGTGCCATTAGGCTGGATCCCATGCTCCAAGCAGTAGAGTTCCCAGCATCCATTGCCGATTTGCACACCAGCTTGGCCAACATGAATTGAGATGCACTCACGCTGTGGGGAAGGGAGACAGACAGAAAAGGTTAATGCCCAGTTTCCACCTCCTTTGTTCTTTACTGAAACTGAAATGCAAACTGCCACCAAACCCATTAAAAGAGGAACATGGACTTAAAGAGAAGCTGCCAAGCACAATTCAATTTACAGTTACCAATATCCTGTGGGATAAAAAAAGAGAGGATTAAATAGTCTCTGTGTCCCATAACTGCCAACCTAGCCACTACTGAAATAGTACTGATAGCAGATGGCCCACCATTGATTGCATATACAATATATGAATTATTCAGTTGAAAACAAATAAACCCATCTAATTTAGGTTGAAAACTCATCTTACCAATAACCACCTCTCTAGCTGCTGTACAGCTCAGTCCGTAAATCATGAGACTCTTAATCTCAGGGTTGTGGGTTCAAGCCCCACGTTGGGCAAAAGATTCCTACATTGCAGGGGGTTGGACTAGGTAAACCTCATGGTTTCTTCCAATTGTACAATTAATTAATTTTGAATTTATATACTGCCCTATACCCAGAGGTCTCAGGGTGGTTCACAGAAAAGATTACAATGTATATAAAATAAAAATAATAACCCAATAACACTCCCCCCCCAAAGAGCCACATTTTAAAAGGGTATAGGATATCTACTACTCAAATTATTTCCCAGTTACTATCTTGCCCAAGAAGTAGAAAAGGTCCTTGGCCATCTAGAATCTCTGGCAGCTCTGCTTTTCTAGAACCAATCAAGAAAAAAAATATTAGAAACCCAAGATGCTTGAGCTTTGTAATTAGATTCCCATATACAGTACATTCCTATAATGCACTGTGTACAGCATTAATAATTTTTTATTGTGAGTCACCCAGGGATCCTTGACTAAAGAACAGTATACAAATATGCCAAATAAAGTGCAGATTAGTCCATTTAAAGAAAAAAATGGTGTTTTTCCAAGGAAGTTGTCATCAGTTTGGATTGTGATGTTCATGTGCAAACATCAAGCCAGATGGTCATATGTTGCCATACAGAAATTATGTTTCAATTGGGCTAACACAAATCCTAAATCTACCCTAGTTAAGGTTCTCCCCATTCCAGTTACTGTTTTTTTCCAAGGTCCTCCCCCCCAATGTAATTTAAATATTCATCTCTCATACTACTTGTTGACTGATGCTGCTTTTCCTTGGTTTATTGATTTTTAATGCAAAAGAGAAGAAGTTAAGCTTGTCCCCAAAGTATTCTTTATCTAGAAATAATGATAAAGCTAACTCAATTAGCAAGCTATTGGTGCACTTTTAATTAGCTGTCCTAATTTGTTAACTTTACTCCCATGTGTCTCAAAGCTCAGGTGATGCTCTCTTGTAAGGCCTATTTTGAGATATCCCTCCAGTTCTTACATTTAGATATTTCTGTCATCAATTATCCATACTTGGTAATTTTCTTCTACCACGGAAGGATAATGATCTAAATTATACAGCTCACAACGGTATTTCAGTTTTAGCTTAAGCAGCAGTTAATAACTTAATTGTATATATTTTTAATGTTAGTAAGTGCTTTAAATCTCATTCTGCTCTTTTCCCATCAAAACTTGTCTCCCCTTTCAGAAGGTCTCTCTCTTTCCACCTTCCAGACACCTTATTAGTGGTTCCTGGATAAATGGCCAAGGATATAGTGCATGAGGTTTAATGCCCTCACCATCTTTCAAGCTGCGTATTTGCTTAGTGTGAAAAGTGCCACAGGATTCTCACTTCATTTCAGCAGCAAGCTGGGAGGCACAGAACAGGAACATCCAGTCCTTGGCTTGCCAACACTGAGAAAACAGCCTCATGGCTGATTCATGTTCCTGCTATCTGCCTTTCATCTATTAAGCAGTGCACTTCATAGGACACCCATCGAGAGTGGTGGTGGCTTACTGGGCAATCCAGCAGTATTGTCAGGATTTGCAGCTACAACAAAAAATCTGGAGATTTAGTTCTCAGACATCTGTGCACATTCAAGGGTTGTACCCAACTTAAGTTTTTACGTGAGTGGAACTAACATTGGTTTACAACCCCAAGTCTTTTACTACACCCCCCCAAAGCCAGGGACAGCTGTTAATGGAACGCAGACACACCTCAGCTAAGGCAGAATGAAAAATATGAAGCACAGACAGAAAGATGATCTAATCAAAGTAAGGGAAATAGGTCCACAGCTAGCTAGCAGTGGCTGTAACTACAGTGGAAACCTGTAAACATTAGTTCAGTCGAAATATCATACACGGGAGTTAAAGCATATCAAAACTGCAACCCTGAGTGTGTGTGCTTGTGTATGAGGCTTACTGGCTTCATAATTGAATAAACTCTCAAGAATATTAGGACAGCAGATGAAATCTTCAGTTGTTGATTAGAGTTTCCTTTGCCTAAGGAATCATGAGGAGGAATGATCAATAATTTCTGCTACCTGTTACAGTGCTCCCTGCTATTTCATGTCTGGGGGGGGAGGAGAGAATCAAATCCCTTCTTGCAGTTATTTAACTGGAACAATCGGAATTGTTGGCAAGTCACTCTTGATGCAAGACATTTGTAATCTAAAACTCAACTAAGGCCATAATTTTGATGGACAGAATACAGCACTTTAGCCAGATGTTAAGAAATGCCCTCTAAGACAGAATTCAGGTCTCTGTAGTCATTTCAAGATTTAGTGTCTATCACCATTACAGCAATGTTTCTCTTGCCTTTTGGGGTTTTTTGGTGTGTGTTCACAAAGTTGTACTTGGAGAACTCACTAGCAAAAAAGGATGGAACATAACAAGAAAGCCCTGGTGCCAATTTTGAAAGAATGAAGTGTGTATTTGTGCATGTGTGTACGTGTACACACACACACACACACACACACACGAGAGTCAGTTTGACAGGATGGAGCAATTCACATTAAGGGATAACACAAAATAGCAATGTGAACTTTGGGCTAAAAATCAAAGAGACAGACTTAAAAACAACAACCCTAAAACCCCAGGATGTTGAAATACCAGGGAAGGGAAGGACTGAGAGAGGCAGCCATCTTCTTTAAAAACTTCCCACCATTTTGCAGCAATGCTGCTTTATAAACTTGTAAAAAGGGGAGTGCAGTGAGTGGCCAACACAGCATCAAACTAGTTCTGATACCCAAGAAAGCTTCCAGCATTCTTAAAAAAACCCACACAAAAACCACTACCTGGTCAAAAATAACCAATTAAGTCTTGAAGGACTTAAAACGGAGGCAAGCAGGACAGAGGGTGGTGGATCAAAAACTCTCGCCCCTGCTGCCCCTCCTTCCCATTCCAGACAAAGGAAGGGGGCTCGGAGATGTCAGCTCAAAGTCTCCCAGACAAGTGAGTCATGCCCAAGCCATTTTAAGTCTCAGCTTCCTTTTTGTTGGTCCTTTGATTTGATTTGAGGGCATGTAGGCATCTCTTGCATATCCCCAAATTCAAGTCTAGGCCCTGAGACGATTAAGACTGAGAATCTCAGCAGCGGAGGTTTCAAGAGGAGCTGGCAGAAAGGACAAGCGGGGCAACTCGAGGTTGAGGCAAAACGAGACACTGAATCGGAGGAAAGAGTCCAAGTGCAGCAGCAGCAGCAGCTGTTGGCTAGTCTCCCACGCGAGGACTTTGGACACTGACCTTTTGCAAAAACCCGAAGCTCACCCCGCCAACTCAGCTGGACGCGCGACTCGGGCGGGGAACCAGGAAACCAAGAAGGGCCCGATCCTGCTTTACTAGTTTCACAGAGGCCACCCTTAGGGAAACCTGTGGGCCTTCCGAGATAGAGGGGACCCCCACCCGCTCTGAACAGTCCTGCATCTCTGTCGTAGCTGCTTTCTATAGACAGAATGGACTGCGGCGGTCCTAACCGCGTCTACTCAGAAGTAAGTCCCGCTGCATTAAGCAGGGCTTACTCCTGTGTAAGCGGGGATAGGATCGTTGCCTTAGCAAAGACTTTCCGCTCTGTTAAATGCGCATTACACACCGATCGACAACCCTCTTTCCCGCCCCGAAGGACGCGGAGAAGCCCTTCGACATCCCCACTCGCCCCAGCGTCGCTAGCGCGGCACAGAAAACGGAAAGGAAGATGTTGGAAAGCCCGACGGCATGACATTACGTAAGGCAAAAAAACCACATAACGCGCGCCTTTATTAATAGGCACCGAGGGGAGAAGCAGGAACCCGGCGGGAAGGAAAAACCAAGCAACCCTCACCATGTCTCCGACAGGCTACGAGGAGTCTGTGAGGTTGTCGGTGCTCTGGCTTCAGCAGACGCGCTACGGGTCTGATCAGCACCACGAAAACAGCTGCTCTGAGGACCGGGCATCCTTTATATAAGGGGCTCCGAAGGAGCGCTTCTCTCCTCGCAGCCGATTGGACAGCGCCGGAGTCCCCTTGCCCCGCCCCACGCGCCCCATTGAATAGGGAGCCAAAGGGAGACGCCCCCGGCCCGCCGCCATTGGGCAGCGGGTATGAATTTGCCCATTCGCGGGCAGCCATAGGATAATTCGTAACGAGGCGAAACTGGGAGACGAGTTCCCGCCAAACCAAAAATGATCGGGATAGGAGCGAATCCCCCAAACTCTCTCTCTCTCTCGTGCTATTTCCACCACTGGCAGAACCTGCTTCTATGTCAGGTTCACATACCTGGGCTTGACTGCAGCCTTGCGGAGTCCAGCACAAGGCGCTGCTTCCCTGATTTTGGAAAATTTCCAAGTGCGTCGTCCCCCAGAGGCTGGGGGTTGGTCAGTTGTTTCTGGACGTGTCCCTTGAGCAGGCAAACCTTCCGCCCACCTTGTGCCGAACCGCTTGCCGGAGAACCCTGCGCTCCTCTTTTGGCTGCGCTTTTCTGCACAACTTGGCGACATCCCGCGAGCTTGCAAGACGGATCAGGTTGAAGAATGAAAGCCAGCGGGAGGTGGGTTGGATGTGAATCCGACGGGTGCCAAGAGATGCACTGATCGATTCATTCCCGACACACTTCGAACCATCGATGCTATTGGGAAACAAATCCAGTTTAAATTAGGTTGAACCCAGCGCTCTATATGGTTGTGATGAACTTACTTCTCCAAGAGTTGCCAGGTTTGGGTCCCTTTTGGGAGGAGGTTACTAGAGGCTCACTGGAACTTTGTAACATTTGTATTTGGTGACAAATTTGCCGGCTGCCCAGTTTAAACACTCCAGCAGGCACACAAAGGCCGCTGCTCCCGTGTGACGTCTCCAAGAATGAGAGCGGGGTGGGTGGGTTAACTCTATATCAGCGATCATTAGGAAAGAGATAAAAAACTGCCCTTGATGGAAATCTATGGTAGAGCCATACTTCGAATACTGCATATAGCTGCCATTGCTGTATTTCAAAAAGAAGTTTGCAGAGTTGAAGGAAGGGATAACGAACATGATCAGGGAACTGGAGTAAATACCCTAACACAATTTGGAGCTTTTTTTTTTAGGTTGGGAGAAAAGAAGAGTAAGGTGTGTTTGTTGGGGGGGATGTATATGATAAAGGTGTATAAATGTATGCACAGTGTAGAGAAAGTGGATAGAGGGAAGTCTCTCCCCACCCCCGCCAACCCCGTACTAGAAGCTGGGGTCAATCAATTAAGCTGAATTGTGGAAGATTCGGGACAGATAAGAGGGGCTACTTTTTCAGCACAATGCTAAACCATGGAATTTAGCTACCACAACTATGGTGGTGGCAACCAGCTTAGTGAGCTTTAAAAGAGAATTGGACAACTCCACAAGAGAATAAAGCTGCCATTGGCTACAGTGGTACCTCAGGTTACATACGCTTCAGGTTACATACGCTTCAGGTTACAGACGCCACTAACCCAGAAATAGTGCTTCAGGTTAAGAACTTTGCTTCAGGATGAGAACAGAAATCGTGCTCCTGCGGCGTGGTGGCAGCAGGAGGCCCCATTAGCTAAAGTGGTGCTTCAGGTTAAGAACAGTTTCAGGTTAAGTACGGCTCTCCAGAACGAATTAAGTACTTAACCTGAGGTACCACTGTACTAGTCATGGTGGCTGTATAGTATTCCTCTCTCTAGAATCTGAGGCTTCCTGCTTTTCAGTGTCATTCACTGGGGAGCCCAAGCAGAAGATAAAAATTGTCCTTTTGCCCTGATTGTGGGCTTCCTCTGGGCATCTGTGGGAAACAAGATGCTGAACTAGAAGATATTTACTCTGATCTAGCTGGGCTCTTGTGTGAAATATCAGGCAGAGCTCCCACACTGTTAATAATTGTGTAAAGATTTCAACAGGTTGGGCTTGTCATGCAAGTTACACATGCCAAAATTCTCTCTCCTACATAACTATTAAGGGTGTTGGAGTCTTGTCCACTCTTTCATCTAGTAAGACAGGTGTGGGGAACCTTCAGCCTGCCAGATGTTCCTAAGCTAGGATTTCCATGAGCTCCAGCTAGCACAGCAAAAGCCCAGGGATGATGGAAATTGTAGTTCAGTGGCATCTCGAGGGTCAAAGGTTCCCTACACCTGTAGCAGGGAGGCAGGTGTAGCATCCTAAAATATGGATAAAGCCCAAGCTGAGTCCTCTGCATATTTTTCTGTTTTTCTCACACTGCAGCGTATGTTTACACATGGATTAACACATCCTTAGCTAGTACCTTCTCTGATAGTTGTCCAAATCAACAATCAGTTGGCTAATTATTTATTAGTTCCCATGCCAACACATTACCAGCACTCTTGTCAAGTCTACTTATTGCCTCAGGGCAACCCAGACAGCTGACAGAAATCTGATAGAAAACAGATACAATATAACTGAGGTTGTGCCAATATGTTACATACTGTGAATTGTCATTCCAAACACTTATGAACTAGTAAGTCCCATTGAGTTTGGGGATACATTCCTGTCAAAGTAAACGTGTATAGGATTATGCTGATAGTTAACTAATCATAGATAAACTATTATTTCCAGGAATGACAATAAGAGAATGGTTTTTTGGTAGTAGCTCCCTGTCACCATTTAGTAAAATCCTGTGATATGTAAATATTAGTTAGGGTAGTTATGTTTTATTATTTACTTTGGACAAATTGGGGTTCATTGGCAGCAGCAGCGGGGGGTCTGGATAGATCAAGGGCTCTTGGGAATTGAGTGTCTCATGAAATAGCTGCCAGCTGCTGGAGATTTACAGCCCCTTATCTCAAGGCTGGTACCCAAGTTTCTAGGACACCCACCTGTTCCTAACTAGTAACATCTTACAGCCGGGCCTGTTATGGGTTTTTATCTCCTGAATAATTCTGGAATGGGCATGTCTGATTTGCACAGGGCCACCCAACACATCCACCCAGGTCTCAGTTAAATATGCCAAGTCTGCCCCTTCATCCACAATCAAATCATGGGTACTTTATGTTTTATTCCGGACAGACCTGGCATTTAGCAACAATACCACCAGTTTCTGCATCATGGTTATGGAGGAGCCATTATCACTGTAAATGATAACAGCAGTATTTAAATATCATTTTTCAATGATATTTAGCACTTCCCAAACATTATCTCAAAAATGCTCCTTACAATAACCATCTTTAGGGATATCAGAATTATTATCCCTATCCTGCAGAAGGGATTTGTACAAGAGGCTAAGATAATAATAGATTGTTCAAGATAGCCTAATGAGGTCACAGCAGAATTTGAATGCAAGACTTCCAAAGACTCTGTTCTTGATTGTTTTTGTGTGTGTGAGCAAGCCTCTTTCTCATTTAAAGCAGCCCAGCAAATGTAACCTGGTTTGTCCTTGGCCTTTTCCCAGTAGGAGACTCTTACTATAGAGAATTTAATTATTGCTTCATGGTTTCTGGAAGGAAGGAACCCGAGCAGGAATTAACATGGTATGTGTGTGTGCAAGGGGAACGTGGGTTGGTATTGGCAAGAGAAACACAGGAGGAGTATTTACAGCTCTGGGAGTTGCCTGCCTGCTGTAATTGCTGTATGTGACTTACTTATTAACCAGTCAGACAGGCCAGGCAAGATAGACCAGGGATTATTTTGCATTCTTGAGTGTCTTAGGTAAGGCTGAGGGATTTTTAAACATCCGCATAATACATTTCGGTGTTTTTTTCCCTTTCATGTTCTTTAAATACTTGTGCTTTGCAGTAATCCACATAGCACTAGGGTGCATCACACACTTGGTTTCAGAGCCATTGGGTGAACAAATAAATCTAATTTTTGATGGCATTTGGCTACTTTTTGGGCTGTAGGTTTTACTTATGAGTCTGCTTGAATCCATGCATGGTGTTTTGGAAAAATTGGGGTTGGCTTTTGCAACCCAAATTCCCAAGGGACTTAGAGTCCCTTAAGTCCAGGATCGGTCAGAGAAGAATAGATCGAGGCAAAATCCAGTGAAAGAAGGAAAATATTTATTTTTCTGTTGCAACAGAGTCCTCCCCACACCCTTTGCAAGGAGGTGAGCAACCAAGAACAAAGGTGTGCAAGCCCCTTTAAAGACTTTTGAAATTGCCCAACCACTTAACCAAAGACCACCCCAAAAGCACCATACATACATCACAGAAGGAGACTGTCCATAGCAGAAATTTGAGTACATGGCCTCTCTCCTGTCTGTCAAGATACCCTATAATGTTTTACTGATTGCATTACCTGGACAGCCTGACCATGCTTTTGAGATAGCAAATACTTTAGTTCTTGAATCCAGGTAACAAGCATACCCTATTCATACACAAAATATGCCCTCAAGACAGGATTTGAATGATTTGTAAGTGAAAGAACTGTTGGGAAATATTTCCCCAATATATTTCCATCTGCAGAGGAAATATTTGGAATCATTAGGAAATCCAAGATGGCTTTTTGGGATTGTTCTGTCTGCTAAAATAAAGTGTAATTTTTCTCAGGGAATATTTTGTGTGTCTGCTGTGTGTGTGCACCCTAATCTTTTTATAGCAATGGTAGTTCAAAAGCACATCAAAGTGAAAGTAGATAAATAGGTACCACTCCGGTGGGAAGGTAAACGGCGTTTCCGTGCACTGCTCTGGTTTGCCAGAAGCGGCTTAGTCATGCTGGCCACATGACCTGGAAGCTGTATGTCAGCTCCCTTGGCCAATAAAATGAGATGAGCGCCGCAACCCCAGAGTCGGCCACGACTGGACCTAATGGTCATAGGTCCCTTTAACTGGTTTTGTGAGCAGGTTGCCACCACATGTATGAATAACTGATGTGCCTGTTTTGAACTGTGTGAGCTCCCAATAGATGGGTTTGTGTAGTAGAGAAGATGCAACTGGGAGTAGATATTGGCCAATGAAATACATTTGAATATGTCTTACTGCAGAATTACCCAACCT